CTTCCTGGCATTTGGGTCAAATTAAAGATATGCTAGAGAAAAGTTTAGGAGTAATTTCTGAGTCTTGAGTCTTTTGAGGGTTGGCACTACTGGTACTTACCAGACAGATGCAGAGTGCCCTGCCGCCTTCATTGGCAAAAAGAAAATAAAGCAAACCTTACTGTCTACAGGTTTTTTAAATGTCTTTGATTTTCCACTGATTTTACACAGCTCCTCTTTTAATAAGAGCATCCTCTTCTAAAGACCCTTTGTAAAGTACTAACCCCAGGGGGCATATATGGGATAGAATTTTACCCGTTAGGGCTAGTTCATATGACTTACTTTATCACATTAGTTCTAGTTAGTAATTCTGATGAGCCCAGGATCCTGAGAGAATGAGATTCAGAAATAGTAAATTTTACTGCATGTTGCGGTAATAGGAAAGGAGTGAGTGATAGAAGAGATCACATCCACATCTACATAATTTCAGTATTCATTCTTTCCAGAAATGACATCACATTTCCCCAGTCACTGAAGACAGACACTTGGCAATCACATTTTCTTCTCTAAAACCATCCCCACACATAATCAATCATTATGTCCAGCTGATTTTACTTCCTAAGTACCTCCTACATCCATCTCCTTTCTCTCAATTGCCACTGGTATCACACTAATATATGCCACCCTCATCTCTTATAATTTAGCATGCTAGGTACTGCCCCTCTATTAAGTCTGCCCACCTCATCCCCAATCTATACTCCCCCCAACAGCTGGAATCATGTATTTAGAAGGCAAATCTGATGGCACTCTTCTACTTAAAACACTTCAGTGGATTCCAGTTGCCCCTGTGATGAAAAACCATAAAACCCCATCATAGCCTACAAAACCTGGCAAGCTCAGTTCCTATCTACCTATTCAACTTCACTTTGTATTATACCCTCCCTTCTAAATTACAATCATACTCAAATGAATCAAGTTCTTTTTCACTTTAGGGATCTTTATACACATGTTTAACTCTACCTGGAGTACTCCTTCTCTCCCTCCTTCACTCCTTTCCCCCATTTTCTCTTGATAATGCTTTCTAATTCTTCAGATTTCATCTGAAAAGTTGCTTTCTCTAGAAAGCCCTCCATGATTGCTCGTATTAGGTTAGGTCCATCCAGTATATACTCTTAAATACCCTACACTTGTCTTTCAGGAATTCAGAGAACTTGCTTATTGTCTGCCTTTCTTATCAGGGTGTGTTATGGTTTGGATATGAAGTGTCCCCCCAAAATTCATGTGTTGAAGACTTGGTCCCTGGTGCTGCAATGGTCAGAGGTGGGGATTTGGGGAAGTGATTAAATCTTGAGGGCTCTGACCTCATTTATGGATTAGTCCATTGAAGTTAGGGACTAATAGGCAATGGAAGAAACTGTGGTGTGTGGCTGGAGGTAGTAGGTAAATAAGAGCATGCCCTTGGAAACTATACCTTTTCCTTGGCCCCTTAGTCTCTCTGTCTCTATCTCTGCTTCCTGGCTGAAATGAACTGAGCAGCTTTCCTCTGCCACACCCTTCTGCCATGGTGTTCTGCCTCACCTCAGGCACAAAGCCATGGAGCTAGTCAACCATAGACTGATACTTCTGAATCCATGAGCAAAATTAAATCTTTCATTCTTTAAGTTGTACCTGTCAGATATTTTGGTCACAACAATAAAAAGCTAGCACAGGCTGTTAGCATTAGAAGTTGAGATACGTTTGCCTTATCAACTGTTTCTCCACTCCTATATCCCATAATAGATTCAGGAAATATTTGCTGAATGAGCCAATGATAACATTTTATATATAACTCTCTAAATTTAATGTATCTAAAACTGAATTTATTATATCTACCTCTATCATCTTACCTATTCTTCCTTATAGTGTTTCATACATCAATTGTCGCACCATTGACTTTTCATGCTTCTCCTGAAACCAAAGACTTAAGATCAGATGATTTGTTTAGGGGGTAATTCAAGGAAGAATCAGTGATGAAGTAGAGAGGGAGAGACACTGAAGGAGGAAAACTAACATAAAGATGCATTTTTAAGATTACTAATGTAGTCAACAAAGACACAGTCCCACCAAGATATCTAAAAAGCATGCACCGTATTTCCCAAATTATCTACCTGAACATCTTTCTGAGGCTGAAAGATATATATATATATTCCTATCAGTTCCTTTTCTAAAATGATTGAGGGTTGTGCCCTGGAGTCATTAACTTTCCATGTACTTTTGGTCTGCTTTTGAGCAAGCCCCATAACATTAGAAAAAGTGCTGGGAAAGAATATATAAATATGTTCATTGTGCTCTTGAGGTAGGACACTAAGAACTAAGAGTTCAGTCATAACTTTCCACTACAGCTGCAGCTAAAATAAGAAGTGGCCCAAGAGAATGTGATGTGAGTTTGAACTTTCTGTTCAACCACTGTACTAGTTCCTATTCTGTGTAACAAATTACCACAAAATGAGCAGCTTAAAACAAAACTCATCTATTAGCTCACAGTTCAGTATTTCAGAAGGATGGATGGTTTTTGCTAGGTTCTATGCTCAGGGTCTCATAAGGCTATAATCAAGTTGTTAGTTAGCCTAGACTCTTATTCAGAATCTCTAATGAAGAATCTACTTCCAAGTTTATTCAGATTGCTAGCAGAATTTAATTCCTTATTTTTATAATATTGAGGTCCCTGTTTCTTTGCTGTCTATCAGGCACGGGTCTCTATTAGAACCTAGACTTTACACTCAGGTACCTCTACATGGTCTCCTCCATCTCAGAAATGGAGATGTTCTTATTTTGAATTCTATATACTGGGATATGTCTGATTTCCTCTTTTGTATTTCATAGAGATAACTCTCTGCCTTTAGAGGACTTGTGTGCTTAGGTTAGCCCCAATTCTTAATTTCCTTTCTTTAAGGTCAAATGATTACTAACCTTGCTTACATTTGCAAAATCTCTTTGATGTGTAATTTAACATTCCCAAGGGAGTAATCCAGGGGGCAAAATTCACAGGGAGCCATCTCAGAATTCTGCTTACTTTGACCACCATTTGCTTAATTACAATCCTTCTCCTTTTCTTCTAACATCTAGTCACAACATTATGTCAATTTTATCTTGTCTTCAGTTTCTTCTTTCTCTGTTCTGTACTTTCAATTGCATTATCTAGAGTTAAGCCCTCATCTTCCACCTTCACAACTGGAACTATTTCCTGATTGATTGTTCCTCTTCCAATATCACCTCTTCTCTAATTCATCTTACACAATGCAGTCAGATTTGTCTCTCTGAAGTATAGACCAAATTCTGTCACTCCGCATTTAGACCTTCCAAAATTCTCAAGTGTATAAAAACTAAATCCCAAATACTTTATATTACATTAGTGTATTCGTATTCTACTTTCCCCCACAAATTAATGATAACAACTTATAACAATATCTCATTCAATATTATAATATATAATAAAGTCGTAGCACACCAAATAATGATAAAATATAAACAAAATGAAGACCAAGGAAAAAAGAAAATATAATAAAGATCACTGGGATACTTGAGCTTTGCTTTTGGTCCTAAGTTCCCTGATAGCAAAGACAAAAAGTGAGATCTGATCAACTACATTTGTTTAATTATAAGAAAGGAAAAAGTAACCTTGGATTAGCATTGGATGATGAAATGAAAGATGACTTGCCTCTATTATTTTTATAGTACAAGTGGCAATGGATTTCAAATGATTCTTTAAAACAGCTGGACTAATCATAGCAGGTTCTTCTCAATCCATCTTTGGCTTATTTCTTAGACCCATTCCTGCCATCTTCCCAGAAAGCACTTCTATCTGAATCCTCAGAATCACTCTGTGCCCTGCAAACAACCTGTGGGTTCATGCACCTGTGACTTTGCTTGGGTCAGTCTCTCTGCCCCTCTTTTAAGGTCCAAGTCAAATTGTATTCTCATCATGGAATGTTTTTGTCACCTATTTCAGAGTTTCTCCCTTTAACATCAGAGGTTAAAAATGTAAATGGTTTCCAACATCAGGGAAATATAATCACAGCCATAAAGAGATTATTACATTAGCCCTCTATATTTTCAAACTCCTTAAGACCTGGCACTATCATCTTCCCCATATATCACTGAGGAAACTAAAAGAGAGCTAGTAAGTGGTAGATCCAAGCTAGCAAGCAAGCAAGAGTTCTGACATCAGAGTCACAGTATCCTTAAACACTGCACATATAACTCCTTGGGCAGCAGGATAACATAAGAGGATGTGGTGTGAACTCAAGAGTTAATACCCTATGTGAAAATCATCGGGGTTAATTTCTTAAAACAAAATTGTTAGCTAAACAATACATTGCTTCAGACTATAAGGATAGTTATCACCAGTTTGCAATCTTTGCATTTTTACCATAAGCTGTCTTACATTTCTCTCAAAGAACTATATCCCACACCAGGAAAAATCTTGAGTCTAGGTCTATCTTTCATGAATTTTTCATCTACAACTATCTAGGCTCCTACCTTGCATCTGGGTTTTAGCCAATCAAAGGGCCAAGAAGCAATAATTTAGTCCCAATTGCCACTTCTAAGGTCTAGGATGGTTATAGAATTTAAGAATTTTATTTCTTTCTGCCCAAGATGAGTTCCTGGAACTGAATCTGTAAAAGGGAAATCTAATGGTTAATAGGGTTCCACCCATCATGAAGATCTATTGTTCAATTTCCTGTGACTAAACAATTTCTAGTACTAAGTGCTTGTAACAAAAAAATACCCACATTGCAGCTTGCGGTCTGGGTCTTTCCTCCCTTGCTTCTTCACTACTTCCTCCCAAGCAACTCTGCAGCACTATGCAAGAATCAACCCCATTTCATCTATTTTACCCAAATACACTCCACAAAACAGAGTTACATTTCATTTCTGGGCTTGCCCAAGAAGAAAGAAAGTTTTTAAGCATTTGTCTTCAGGTATTGAAACCAGTTTGAGGAGGGAACAGCTGTTCTTTAAAAAGACAAAGAAAATGTCCCACAGTTTAACTGTTTCAATAAAGAGAAGGCCAAATAATATCTGAACTTCAGAATTCTCCCCTGAGTCTCTGAATCAGTTAAGAAAACAGAGGACTCTGTGGCTTTCTGCCTCAAGTTTCAAGATTCCTTTTCAGGGTTGAATTGTGGGTGTGCCCAGTAGAATCAAAACCCTTGGTTCAACCAGAAAGAGAGTGAGAGCGAGAGCAAGACAGAGGGAGAAGGAGAGAGAGAAGAAGAGAAAGAGAGGAAGAGAGGAAGAACCTGTGAAATTGGGTGGGTTCATGAAGATCTGTGAACAAATAAAAGAATTAAGCCTAGAAGGTGAAGGTGAAGCCCCTGTGCCTGAGGTGAGCAAAGAAGTCTAATTTAGCCAGAGACCCAGGTTTGTTTGTTTTTTTTCCACAAACCCTGCTTTTTTTTCTAAGGGTTTTAAAATTTTTAAATTTTAAGATATTTTTACATATAAATCATTTGATTCTTGGAAACTGGGACAAAGAAACTCACTCATTGTTGTCAAGTGATCTGAAATCCTCAAAAGCAAATGCTGCTTCTATTCCATCAATTTCCATCCTCATCTTTCTTGAATTTTTTTTTCTTAACTAAACTCAACTGACTGTAAGTGATGTGGCTCCCCCATACTTCTTTGACTTTTTATCATGACATTATTTTCCTCACTCACTCTGCTTCAACTTCACTAATCTCCCCACATTCCCCTATCTCAGGATCTTTGCACCTTCTCTCTCCACAATTTGAACACTCTCCAGATTTCCTTGTGTCTAATTGTCTTACTTAAAGTAGATTTCTACTGAAATGTCCCATTTTCTGAGAGACTTTCTCTGATTCTCTAACCCAATACTACCTTCTCATTTTATCTTTCTTATCTTGCCTTACTTTTTATGTAATTTAATTAGTATCCCATTCTTATGTTTGTACATGATGTGCAGTTTCACTGGTTGTGTATTCATATGTGTACATAGGAAAGTTATGTTAGATTCATTCTTCTGTCTTTCCTATTCCCATCTCCCTTTTTTCCCATCATTCCCCTTTGAATAATCCAATGAACTTCTAATCCCCCCTTCTAATCCACATATCAGAGAGAACATTGGCCTTTGGTTTTTGGGGACTGGCTTATTTCACTTAGAATGATAGTTTCCAGTTCCATCCATTTACTGGCAAATGCTATCATTTCATTATTCTTTATGGCTGTGTAATTTCCATTGTAACTTTTTAATAGCACTGATCACTACCTTACATTTTTTTTGGTTGTTGTTTTCTCTTTTCAATAATCCTGTAAGGAACATGAGTATGTGGCTATTTAACAATTATAATACCTTCTGCATCTCCAGAAGCATAGTGCCTGGCTTATAATAGCTACTCAATAAATACTTGTAGAATGAGTGGAGCAATCAACAAATATTTACAAGTAACTACCATGATACAGATCTTTCAGGCTATGTGTGAAGGAGGGATGGATAAAGAGTGAGACTCTGTCCTTTCATTAGAGCAAGGCCCTTATAAATTAGTCAAAGATACAAAACTATCAAAGAATAAGTCTCCTGAGATAGAATATGGAATCTGCTATAATAATAGATAAAGAAGTTCAATGGGAAGACAAAGGTAAAAGAACTTCATCTGGAATGGGGTAATTTGTGAAAATTTGGGAGGATATGGGATATGACTGTGATTACAAGGATGTACAGAATAAATACTAAGAAAAATCAAAGGAGAGGGAATTTCAGGTATAGGGGGCAGCTTGAGCATAGGCATAGAAAAGGAAAAGTGGCAGAAACATTTCAACAGGCAGCAGGTTTTCTAGGATTCAATGTAAGCTGCATTGATGAAGGGCAGAATGAGTCTGAGAGGAAGGCTTGTGTCAGGGTTGGAGTTCTCTGGTTCTTTAGACCAATTGTGAAAATAAAGAAGCACTTGACAGAAGTGAATATTGTATACTTATGAAAAACAGTAGCAAGAATACTAGACTATTTTAAAAATAAAATCTTACCTTCAGGGTGAAACTAATGTTTTGTGCCAACAGAAGAGTTCCTACATGTTCACTTGTGGATAGTGAAAAATATACAGGATATTTTTCAGGTTCTTGTATTTTTCTGAATCCGCTTACACTCTTCATTTTTAGATGCTCTAAAAAAATTCTCAATCACTCATGCCTGAGAAAGATTATTGCCACCAAATTATTTTTTGTCAAATGAGCTATTATCCAGGGAATCTGAAAAAAATCACATGATATTTATCAGGACATTTGCACATTGCTAGTTTGAAATCTCCCAACCATCCGTTGCTACTTCTCAGCACAATTGAAATTTCATCTAATATATTCTGTGTCATCATTGTCATTCTTGTCATTGTTATCATCATCATCACCACCACCATCTCCATATTATTGCTTTGTAATGGGGAGAGGAGATAAGGAGTTACTTGAAAAGATCTTTATTCTTATAGATCTGCCCTCTCTGGTCCAAGAATGATCTTAGTCTGGGCATCTTTGTTATGAGTACTTGTATTTTTACCTTTGCAGAATCTTTTTCCTTCCTTTTGGCATCAACCTCCCCAATTTTCCTTTCAGGAGACTGTCTTTCCACCTTCAGTCCATGTGGGTCAGGTAGGCTGATGAGCCTCCTCCCCCTGAATCAAATGGTTTGGTATTTAATACAGTTCAGGCCAATGGGATTTTATTCTTCTACCCACAGCAAGTATTCAGAGATGGAAAAGTGACCCAAACTAAGCCAAACTTGGGACTTTTTCTGCAACTCCTTATAACAGTATGTTTTTCCCCCACTGGAATTACTAGATATAAGGATGAAGATAGTTACACCAAGCATTTGATGAGCATTTATCATTCTCCTAAATTTGTAGGGGTTCTGTGTTTGGGATGGGGTCTCTGATAAACTTTATGATTCTGGCATGCTTGGTGTCTAGGAAGTTTCTGTGCAAAGGCACAGAATGCCTGGCTGCTAGGAAGTTTCTGTGCAAAGATGTAGAATGACTGGCTGCTGGGAAACTTCCATGTAAAGACACGGGATGCCTGACCCCTGTGTCAATGTCCTTCAAGAGGAAGCTCTGTGAGTCTTATCAGCCTCGACCTTGATTTTAGGCACATAACTCCTGGGAATAAAGGAACTTGCTTGCTAGATAACTACAATGTTTCACCAAGCTCTGGCAATCCGGGATCTGCCCCCTTCACAGTAACTTGAGACAATGGACTTTCTTAAGAGCTGCACAAAGCTCCTGACATTGCATATTATACTGCAGAATGTAACTGCAGAATAAGCAACCTTACTGGTACTCTAAACAATAATGTAGTTATGGTACTAATGACCTGATATAACCTGTTGATATAAATAAACGTTGCCACTTAGAAAAGCAGCCATTTTTTCTTCCTGCCTCTGCACCTTGTCTCTGTGTCTCCTTTATTATTTTTCCTTACATAAATTCTTGATGTGGATAAATTTATTTTACCTTCACAATAACTCTGTGAGGTAGGTAGTAGTATTGTCCCCATTTTATAGATACAGAGAATCAAGTAACTGTCAAGAGATGATACAATGAATGACAGAACCAGGATTCAAATGCTGGCAGTAAGACTCCATTGTTTGTGCTTTTGACCGCTACGCTATATTGTGAATGAATGTATGATATTAGCATACAGTTGTTGGGGTTGGAGCTTAGGGTGACTGAAGATGAAACTGAATTTTGAGTAGAGAAAGACCATGTTCTAAAGATGTAATTGGAGCTAATGCAGCTCTTGAATCCAGATTCTGTTTATCTTTTGAGATACATGAATCCCTGGATCAATAAATTTATATATATATATATATATATATATATATATATATATTTTTTTTTTTTTTTTTTTTTTTTTTGCTTAGGTCAGCGTGAATGGAGTTTATGACATTTGCAACCAAAGTGATACTGAAAAACTCTTCCTTCCCTTTTGTCTGATAGGGGCCTCAGGTGAATATTATAGGACTATTCAGCCTGTAATTGTGTAAGCCAATCTAATAAATCCCTCTTATAATTGGTTTTATTCCTTTTGAGAACCATAATCAATAAAAGTTCTATGTGATGTATTTTCTGGGAAGTTGATTCCTTAAGTTTAGGGATTGATCAGGCAACACATTCTATCTCCTATCAGCAAAGATTAATTCAAGGGTGGTTATGTGATTCAAGCTGGTCAAATTGAATAAATCTTGAGAATACAATGCAGACACTGGGACAGAGATGCTTTTTTTCTTTTTAGGTGTGAAAATTGAAACTTGGAAGTATTGCATAGCCAGATTTACTTTGAAACAAATATAATAGAAAGTAGGGTGGAGAAAGGGAAATAAATCAGGTCCTTCTTGACAATATTGAGGTGCTAGATAAAACCTCACCAGAAACTAACCCTATCACCAAACTTCTTAGTTTTGTGAAATAATTTTATTTTTAAAGTCAGTTTTAGAAAGATTTCTTTCAAATACAACTGGAAGAATCCCAAATAATGTAATTAATGGTTTTTTGGGGGATGATTATCCTTTGCCAACTGATAACTGAGCTATGTTATGTACCATTGAAATATAGAAAGATAACATGAGTTAGGTAAGACAGATGTGTAGGAATAGTGGATGGAAAGGATGTCAGGACAATATTCTTGGGTGAAAGAATGATTATTTTTTTAAGACCTAGAGTTGTACTATCCAATACAATAGTTACTAGCCAATGTAGCAATTCAAATTTAAACTAATTATAATTAGATAATGTCATGATTTGGATATGTGGTGTGTCTTTTGTGAGAGAATGCAAGAACATTCTGAGGTAACATGAATAGATTATGAAAATTATAACTTAATTAGTAGATTTATCCACTTACAGATTAACTGGGAGGTAACTGTAGGCAGGTAATGTGTCCTGGAGGAAGTAGATAACAGGGAGTGTGTATGCCTTTGGGTAAATATATTTTGTCCCTTGTGAACAGAGTTCTCTCTGCTTCCTGGTGCACAAAGTCTTCAGTTGCTTTCCTTCACCACACTCTTTCCATGATATTCTGCCTTACCTAGTATTTGTAGCACTTTAATTTTATTTTTTTGCCTGATTTCTCTGGAAAAGTTTCAAGAACTATATTGAATACAAGTGGTGAGCATGGACATCCTTGATTTAACCTGATTTAACCATCCTTGGATGTTAGGGTCTGTAAACAAGTCAAGATGGCGCCTGGCATTTTGCCAGAGGGAGAGGTTTGTGAAGTAACACCAGGGAGCCATTAAGTGTGGAGATTCCTTATTGGTTGACTGCTGTATCTAGTTTATGTTAATTAAGATAAGCTGTGTGTAACATATATATACCCCTCCTGTCC